TTGTTGTACTTCGTTCAGTTACGTATTGCTAACTTAGCGATCGCTCGAACGAAATATCGCTCATTACAAAGCTTCCAGTTTTCGATCCATACTTGTTGTAAGTACTCGTCGGCAAGCGCCAAGCAGTTAGGTTGCGTGCGCAGGGTACGGATTCTTTCGGTGATGAATAGCAAGCCGCCGACGAAAGAGCGATTCTGCGATTTAGTTTATTTCAAAGCATTGCATTGTCGATGTAGGTCGTAAAATGTTGTCCCTCAGATACGCAACGGATAAATATATATACGGCGTCGTATAAATTTGCTACCTGCAATTCTTCTGCAATGTATGTAGAAATTTCGCTCGGCTTTTTATCGTGTATGTCATATTAAAATCAGATTTCAATTTATTTAATTCTAGGATCGCTTGCTTTCGTCGCTCGTAACTCGTCACTTGCATCGCTCGTTCGTAATCGAGCGATGTCGGTTGCTTCAATAATCGAGTACTCCGCTCAAGTTATCCCATCTACTTTAAACCAAACTAAATCAAGCGAATTACTCGTCGCTTGTCGCTCGTTGCTTGCTACTTGCCATTTATCACCGAAAGAATATGTGCTGTGCGCACGCAACTTACTGCTTAGCGTAATGAGTTGCGAGTACAAGCGGCGAAAAACCGTATTTTTGAATACGAGCGAAATCTCGCGCTCGATTATTGGAATCGCTTGAAACTCGCGTACTCGATTATTGAAATTAATCGGTTTTTCCCATCACTATTTCTCATAGGTATAGAAGTATACTCATAGAAGTTGCGCCTAAAAAGGCTTATTCTTAAAAATACGAAAAAATCATTCATACAATGAATACAAATTGTTTTCTTGATGAAGAATTTTAACAGTTGTACCCTGAACTCTTGTAATCTTCATTATTTGTCATAGAAGAGTGTCATTTTTCGCGGCAAGTATTGTACGATACTTCTTCTTTCGCACGTCTACAACCATTAAAATAGAATGAAGTCAGAACAGTAGCAAAGACTCTGCTCCAAATTCAACCAACTTATGAACCGTTACAGCTAAACGGTTGAAATTTTCACAGATAATGCATCTATGTTGCCGCTATAAGAACAAATACTAAAAACAATTAAATAAATGTTTATAAAATAATTTTTTTTTTTTTTTTTATTTAAATTATTTAAATCAAGAGATTTTTACATAGAATCTTTCCAGTCCTCGGTGGCCGCGTGGTTAAAACGTTAGGACTTTACGCTGCTATGACGTTGAATTCGTAGTAAGGCAGGTTCGAATCCCAATCAAGGCGACTTTTAACAAATCTTTTTAATTTTGCATATTTATTATTGATTATTGCCAGTAATTTTAGTAATGTGTTTCTTCATTTTTTTAATTACTTATACGCATACGCGCATTCAAAATTTCAGGTAAATCGGAAAAAAGTTTATAATATAGTGTCTAATGTTGTATAGATAATGAATGTTACGAACCCTTCGTGCGCGAGTCCGACTCGCACTTGACCAATTTTTTTTTTTTTTTTTTTTTTTTTTTTTTTTTTTTTTTTTTTTTTTTTTTTTTATTTTTATTTCTGTTGTATACATGGTGAGTTTCCTACGATGTTCTCTATGGATATCTCGGAAACTACTGGAGACTCGTTCAAATGGAAAAAGAATTACCGCAGTTTTGTGGGGTCGTAAAATATGCGCCTTTCAGATTTTCGAAAAGTTCATGGCTTACTAGATATTTCAAGAAAAAACAAATTTTGGCTATTTTTTTTTTTTTTTTTTTTTTTTTTTTTTTTTTTTATTTTAGACAAAAGTTTCCAGATAAAAGTTGTAGGTAATCACATCCCTAATGAGATTGTGTTCTCCGATTTTTTCTAAAGCCTGTCACTTTTGAAATATGACTCAAACATGTTTTAAATGGAAACCATAGTTGGCCATGACTTAATAAAAACGCCATTTTTAGGTTTTTCAACGATATAAAGCTATAATATGTTTTTTTTTAAATTACTGAGTTATAGTTTGGTTATAGCCAATTCTTACCTTTCTTGACTAATTCACTTAGTTAGCCATGGAAGGGTAAGTTCAATCGTCGTTGCTCTCAAATGAAATTGTCACATCAATCTTTGTAAATTGGGAAATAGAAACAAAATTGTAATTAAGACTTTTTAGAATAAACATTGCAGGATTATTGGTTCAACTTTTTCTTGTAGCTGGTTTTAGAGGATACGTTGATCGGTGAACGTTACGTTTTTTAGAACTAGTTTTAGGACATGTTAGAAAAGTTAAATTAGATACTCGCGCATTAATAGAGTGGTTCCAACTTGACTTTCATTATGACACACAAAACCCACAATGAAAAACATTATTTATTATGTAGACTCAGGGATAGAAAGAGGTGGATCAATTGCATGGGTCTCCTCGGTCACCTGATCTATCCATTAGATTTTTTTATGCGGTATGGTTAGCAACCAGGTTTACAACCAAGAACTTATGAATTAAGAGAGGCACTCGAAGAGGCGGAACAGGAGAAGTTTAATTAAGTCGACCGGTGGTTCTGTGACAATAGCTAGAAATTCAGTTTTAAAAAGATGCATTTATGTACTCAAAACGATTGCGGATTTTTTGAACATTTTCTAAAATAACTTAAAGTGTACCTATGTAGTAATATTATTTTTTTAAGTTTTAGTTTGTGTAATCTAAATTGTAAAGAGCCGTTTAATAATATATTTTGTCTTTTTATAAGTTATAAATCATAACAAAATTAGAACACCATTGAAAAAACCGTTCTGTAAGAAACGTAAGTAACTTTCACCGGTCAACGTATGGCCAAGAAAAGTTGAACCAATAATCCTACACGTTTTTCTTCATTTGAAAAAATTTTATTTACAATTTTTGTTTATTTTAATTTACAAAGACTGGATGTGACAATTTCACATTTCTGAGAGCAACGACGATTAAACTTGTTTCCATGGCTAACTAAGTGAAATTAGTCAAGAAAGATAAGAATTGGCTATAACTTAGTAATTTTGTGAAAGAAACATATTATAGCTTATATCGCTAAAAAGCTTAAAAAATGGCGCTTTTTCTGAAGTCATTGCCAACTCTGATTTCCATTTAAAAAAACATATGTTTGTGTCATATGTCAAAAATGACAGGCTTTAGAAAAAATTGGAGAAAACAAACTCATTAGGAATGTGATTATCTACAACTTTTTTCTGAAAACTTTTTGTCTAAAATAGATTATAATGGAATTAGGGACAATTTTTAAAATAGCCAAAATTTGTTTTTTTCGGAATATCTAGTAAGCCATGAACTTTTTCAAAAATCTGAAAGGCGCATATTTATGACCCCACAAAACTGTAATTCTTTCCCCATTTACCCGACTCTCTATCTCCAGTAGTTTCCGAGATGCCCATAGAGAACATCGTAGGAAACTCACCCTGTATATTCTAAATCTTTATATTAGGATATTTGTTTCAGCATGAAATTATATTATTACAATTAATAGATAGCTAGTAAATACCGGAAAATCTGTCAAGGAAAAGATGGTTGGTGATTATAACGTCTTTATATTATAACGTCTTTAGCTCGGGTCTCTCTGATCATGAAGCAGTTTTAACTGAATTTTCGATAAAGTCCAAAATCAAAAATGCCCCTCGTAAATTATGCCGTATTTTTTCAGAAAAGAATGCTCAAAAGTTCAGCCACTTATGTAAAACAACCAACTGGGATACTAGCTCTTATGATGTCGACACCGAATTTTCTATTTTCGTAAAAACATTAACCAGTCTAGCGTTCAAATCCTTTCCTTTTAGGCCTATAAAAAATAAGCATAATAAACCTTGGACCACTAAAGGTCTACGCATATCTT